CTTTTTTTTTACAGGATATTACATAAACCGTAGTAATAAGGTAGTCAATACTCTTAATAATCATATGAAGCTCTGCAAATAATAGAGTAAGCAAATAAAACTTAAAAAAAACTCTCGAACGTGGGTAACTACACAAATATGAGTTTGCTAACTAATATACCACAATGACTTGATAGCAGACGTGCTTGGTGCTGGATTAACTTTTTTTTTACAGGATATTACATAAACCGTAGTAATGAGGTAGTAAATTTTGCCGATGTTAATTCCCTTAATATCCATATAAAGCTTTGTAAATAATAGAGTGAGCAAATAAAACTTTAAACAAACCGAGTCACGAGTTCGGAACTCACGTCTCAACCCTTTTTTTTTTTTCTTAATTATCAACTATTCTTATTGGTTTACCTAGTTAACTTAAGATTCATTAAATATATGATTATATTAATCTACAAATATTGTATTATATTACATCGTATACATCCAATAAATTGGTACATGAATCAGCGAACACACATATTTATCTATGATATTTCAAAATTTCTCTTTGAACTGTTCTCGGTCGTTTCATTTACCAACGAATTTCGCCATTCATTTTTTAATATTCATTTTCGGCACGATAAGAGGTATACATCGTATACATCCAATAAATTGGTACATGAATCAGCGAACACACATATTTATTTTATTTTAATATATTTTGTTTTAATTTTATGTCCCAAAAAATTGCACTTATTAATATCGAGTGAAAAAAATGAAAAGCGTAAAAAACCCACACAATTATTTTATACATATGTACTTATGGTGAGATGAGACAAATAGTGTATCTGTTTAGAAGTTGTTAGTTTCACATATTTTTGAGTAGCCTGATTCAATTTAGTAAATTTTTTTTATTCAAGCCTACGGAAAGATAATTGTATTTCTAATATCTCGAATTATCAGTATGTTCTGATGTAGAAAATAATTCAGAATTAAAATTATACCTCGAGATAATTTTCTGATAATTCGATGTATT